TGTTCTGATGACTGCCTCTTGGTCCAAGTATAGGTTTCGCATTAGCACAATCAAATGTTCTGGGATTCCCATTCTTCTCAGAGTCAGCCACAGTTGGTTGTGATCCACAGAGTCAAATGCCTTTGCATATAAGGTAAATAAGTGACAAATAAAGGAACTTTTTACAAAAAAAAATGCCTTTGCATAATCAATGAAACACAGATAGACATTTCCCTGGTACTCCCTGCTTTCAGCCAAGATTCTTCTAACATTAGCTACAATATCCCTAGTACCTCAACCCCTTCTAAACCTAGCCTGGACTTCTGGCAGTTCTCTGCTGATGTGCTGTTCCAGTCAGTTTTGGATAATCTTCAGCCTAATCTTGCTTGCATGTGATATCAACAATACTGTTCAATTATTTCCACACTCTGTTGGATCACACCTTTCTTTGGAATGGAAACAAATATCGATCTCTTCCAGTCAGTTGGCCAAGTAGTTGCCCTCCAGATTTCTTGACACAACTTGGTGAGCACATTTAGGGCAGCATCTGTTAGTTGAAGTACATCAATTGGTATACCATCAATTCCTGGGGCCTTATTTTTTGCCAATTCCTTCATAGCAGCTTGAACTTCTTCCTTCATCACCATAGGCTCTTGCTCCTATGTTGTTTCAAGAAATCATTCTGTGTCTGCCAATTCCTTTTGGTACAGTGTGACTCTGTATACTCTTACCATCTTCTTTTAATACTTCCTGGATCATTTAATATTATGCCCAAAAAATCCTTAAGTATAGCAACTTGAGGTTTGAATTTGTCAGTTCTTTGAGCTTAAGAAATGCTGAGCTAGTTCGACCCTTTTGATTTTCTGACTCCAGCTCCTTGCACATTTCATTGTAATATTTTACTTTGTCTTCCCGCCCTGCCTTTTGAAATCTTCTGTTCAGCTCTTTAATATCTTGAATGCTTCCCTCTGCTTTGGCTTCTCAGCACTAGCACTCTAGTGCAATATTCAGAGTCTCTTCTGACATCCATTTTGGTCTTTTCTTCCTCTTCTATTTTATAATGACCGTTTGCACCCTTCCTGGATGATACTCTTGATATCATCCTACAACTCATCTGGTCTTCATTCATTAGTGTTCAAGACCTCAAACCTGTTCCTGAGATGGTTCTAAAATTCAGGTTGAATAGACTCAAGGTCATAATTTGGTTTCCGTGGATATAATTTTCCTTAGCTTCAGCTTGAACTTGCATATGAGTATTACGTGGTCTGTTCCACAATCAGCACCTAGCCTAGTTTTCACAGGTGATAGTGAGCTTCTCTAGTGGTTCTGTCCACAGATGTATCTCAATTCCTTCTATGGAGGAGGAAAGGTACCTTCCTCTTGCTCTTGGACATCTTCATTAGCCTCATTTGCATAGTGGTTTCAATGTGTGACTTCAACACCAGCCTCCAGCCTCCACCATCATCTTGAGCCAACAGTAGCTGCCCTTGTGCTACTTAATTTGTTTGTTGCCAGTGACTATGCATTCTAACACCTATGTATTATGCTTTAGCCCAATGTTTTCAGCAATGTCAAGTGTGGGACAAAGGAACAAAGCTGGCAGTGAGAGGGAAGGAGGTAAAGTGGTCTCGTAGCCTTTCTCTTTTAGCACTAAAACCTTGCTAATCTGAAAAGAAAAGAACTAGAAGAGGAATCTTGAGTAGTTTCCAGATCATTTACCAAGCTGAGTAGACTGGCTGAGTCTGTCAGTAAATTAACGAGTATCCATGGAGCGCTGGTGGCCTAGTGGTAAGAAGCTACACTGAGCGGGAGCTCAGGTGACCTAGTGGCAAGAAGCTGCAACTACAGTCCCAGAGGTGCACGGTTCAAATCCACCAGATGCTCTACCGGGGAAAGAGGGGCAATCTCCTCCTGTACCAGTCAGATCTGATTTGACGGTACACGCACACAAAAATAATAAAATTAAAGAAAAGAGAAGCTACACTGAAATCCTGAAGGCATGCAGTTTGAATCCACCAGATGCTCCATGCAAGAAGGATGGGCAATCTCTTCCCATGCAATTAACTCTCTCTGAAAAACTGGCTGATGATACTGCTATGGGTCAGTTCTGATTCGACAGCAGAACAACAACAGGGCATATATTGTGTATAGTAAGGAAGCTCCTCAGGTCTCTGGATATTTGTGGAAGAGAGACAATACTCTGTTGATAAACTGATGACTGTGAATACTCAGAACAGAGCAGGAGCAACCTCTCTGGTACTCTGGGTTGTTTGTTTTTTTAAGAATAGAAATGCTGTGAGAGCAAGTGGGCAGTGAGGATGTCCAAAGGCACAGAAAAGGGATTTCCCTGCCCTCTGAACCCTGGTTTCCTTACTGTGCATTGTGGGCTTGATAATAAAGAAAGTGGACTCATTCCAAAGTGACTATCCACCCCCACACACAACAAATAATTACCAAGTTTTTTCACTGCAACGTGTTCAGACTTTACTAATAATGTCAGCTGATCTTGTGTGAAGTTTCCATGGGTGAGGTTGCCATGTATTTTACTTTTGATCTTGTCAATCAATTCAGTGGATGCTAAAGAAGAGTTGGCTTTTATGATGACCTGGCAAACACAGCTAAAAAGGAGAAGAAAAAAGAAAAGTGTTGCAATATGTCAACAGAGGGTGACCTGGCCTGTGGTGCTCAAATCCTACCCAGCTAGCACAGCCAGAAAGTCCATAAATATAAAACATTGCACAGCTACTTGGTGGGAGATCTTCAGAAACAATGGAACACAGGATAATGAAAACTTCTGATAAATTTTCTCATACCAAGTCAGACGACTCAGAGCATATTTTCAAGGCTGAGACTCAAACAAAAATCAAACTCACAGACATTAAGTTGATTCTCACTCAGTGACCTTCTCTCGGGTTTCAAATCACAGTAGGAGCCTGCCTAGCTTCCTTTTGGAGCGGCTGGTGGATTAGAACAACCAGAGGTGCATGCTCTTTTGGTTAGCAATGCAGCACACTACAGGCAAGGCATGCAATTTCTCTAGAAGTTTTCAATAATTAATACAGAAGATAGAGTGCTCAGAATTTGCTGCTCCAGAGAAAATGTTTTCTTTCTGTTCTCCAATTCATCCATCAATACAACTAGCCATTCTGTAGAAGAAAGATGGACAGTCTTCTCCTATAAAGAATCATAGCCTCTAAAATTGAATGGAGGGTCGCTATGAGTTGGAATTTACTCAGTGAATGGTCATGGGTTTGGTTTGGGTTTCTGGTATGACAGTAACACAAATAGGCACATGGTCAATTCATTCATAATTTTTGTTTGTTTTTTTGGGGTTTTTTTTGTTGTTTTTTTTCATTCATAATGTTTTCTGCAGAGACTCATTCTGTAATAGAATAATGATTATGATGGTAATTAACAGGTTTTAATTCTTGTTCCACATGTTTTGACTCACTTCTTCACAAGAACACTAGGAGGTAAGTAGTGTTATTATCTGTAAGCTACAGAGAATTAATGGAGTCTTAGGGAAATGACATTTCCCAAGATTACAAAGACCCATAAGTGCTTTTCTGATTATTTTTCAGAAAAAAATTTCAATCTTTCATTAAAAGATTTGTTATGAAATAAGAGTCTTCAACTTCAAATTGCATAGTAAGGTCCTCAAACATTTTAACGTCCTCTAACATGCCTTTAAAGAACTTATTTTAGATATACAACTTTCTCTATTTTTTAAAATTGGTATCTGTAGACTTATTTTTTTAAAAAATATTAGTTTGCATATAAGCATTCATATACACCACCTTTTGTACATGTACTTTGTGTTTTATACAAACATTCACGTACATTATATTTTATATCATTAATTACCATTTCTCTATGCCTGTTATCACCCGTCTTTTCAAGCTCCCATAAAACCTTTCATAGGAAGATAACTATAAATAAAAGGCGCATGAATGTTCAATAGATTCATCTTTTTTATGTATCTACATCTTTCTGAGATGAAGAACCTATTTCCTGAATTCCCTATTGGTTGTAGAAAGTCAGATGCCATTTGCATTTTCTCAAAACACTTGTCTATGTTCAATCTACAATAGCTTTCCTCTATTCTGGTCTTCTTTTCATCTATTTGCAGAACGCTGCTCATCCAATCTCTTCTCAGCTTCCATCTCTCTGTTGTAGAAAAGACTCTTCATTTTGCAATTTCTTCTCTTGCTTGCAACAGACCTCTCATACCCCTAAAATTCCACAGACATTTCCATGTACCTTCTTGGTTAGTATATCCCTCTTAAAGTGGACCAAGCAGACCCTAACAGCGAGTATTTAGGGAAGAGTTGCTCCAAAATGCCACAGGACCAAGGCTGTTTTCCATGTTGCCTTTCAAGTTTCTTGTTCAAGCTTTTGTGGACCTTTCTGACTGTTGTAAACACTTTAGTCTCCCACCCCCCAATTATTACTACTTTGGACCCCATTTTCTCTTTACTACAAAGAGGCAGTAAGCAGGCTGCCTAGCTATGCTGTGACCAACTGAGACAACTTATTTCATGAAGGCAAGATATCAGTTACAGCATCTGTAAAATTGTCACCAGATTCTTCGATCTCCTTCTGGCAACTCTGATCAACAGGCTGCACATACAGAATTAAATGGAAAGAAAATCTGAACCAAATGTACTGGCTATGAATAAACACTGCTCTTACCTGTATGGTACACGGGGAATTGTAGTTTCTTGCCCTTCTCTTGGTTCCCACTGATATGAAAGAAAAGTACCATAGTAACTTCAGTCTTTAAACCAATGTTACAATTACTACAAGGTTTCTTGTAAATTACAACAATCAATTACATTTTACATTTATTCAATGCAATCCATGCAATCCACTGTCATTTATAAATCACCTTCCAAAACATCAATGTACTTGATCCTCACACCAACCCTAGACAATGTTCCATTTTCTAGCTGAGAAAAGCAAGTTTTAGAGAAGTTAAATTATCTGCCCAATTCACACCACAGGGTCGTCGTACTGGGAGTGGAATCTATGCCTTCCAGATCTGACTACTAACTTGATGATGATGATGATAAGTGTAACCACCATCAAACATTTAGCTCTGTTATCATACTCTAGTGAGTTGCACTGCTAATCCAAAGGCTGGGTGTTTCTGGCTGTTCGAATCTACCAGCAACTCTGCAAGAGAAAGATGGGCAATCTCCTACTGTTGTGATTTATAGTCTCAGAAACCTGAGAGATGGTTGCTATGAGGCAGAACTGACTTGACAGTAGTGAATTTGAGTTTTTCAATTTGAATAGAGGAGACATGGGCTTGATTTCCAGCCAATGCGCATTACATGCAACCACCACCCATATGTTAATGGAGCAGAGTGTTGCTATGAAGCTGAATATTCATATAGTCAAACCCATTAGGTGGGAGAAGCAGCACTGCAGTTTGACTCTACCAGCTCTTCCACAAGAGAAGGATGGACAACCTCCTCTCATGTGATTTAGTTGTTTCTGAAAACCAGATAGAAGGTTGGTTCTGTAAGAGTCATTTCAACTTGACAGCACACAACAACAACAACACATTCATTGCATGGGAGGAGATTGCCCATCTCTCTCCCATGGAGCAGCTGATGACTTCGCATTGCTTGTCTTTGGGTTGGCCACACAACTCCTTACCAACTAGGCTACAGGAGCGCCCTAAGAAAGCCGACTTTGTCGTTGTTGTGCACTATAGAGTCAGAATCGACCCATAGCTGACCCTCTGGCAGGTTTTCAGAGGCAGTTAATCGCACAGGAGGAGATAGAAAAAAGTGCAAAAATGAATGAATGAAAATCCAAAATCTCTGTAAATGTACATTAAAATTAATAAAATAAAATTTAAAAAAAGTTTCCTTTGAGATTGCAGCACAGCTTCTTATCACTAGGCCACCAGAGTTCCCAGGAGGTTCATAACTTCTGAAAATCCATTCAGAAGGTCAAGAGCCGCAAAGTTTGGGGTTCAAATCAGGAAGAAAAGTCCTTATGAAAATCAGCCAGTGAAATCTCCTATGGATCACAAAGATCTGATCCCTGATCCCTCGGCACTCCTGGTTGCTTCAAGCAACAAAGCCCCTGAGCAAAACACTACATCAAAGAGATTATTCCATCAGCTCAACTGTGTTGTGAGTGATGGTACTATCATTTATCCCTATTTTACAGGTGAGATTGAGATACAGATTCATTAAGATGCTCAAGGTCTCACAAGGGAGCTCTGATGGCCTAGTGGTGTGCTGCCCTAGAGGTGTGCAGTTCGAATCCACCAGATGCTCTGCTGGAGAAGGAGGGACAATCTCCTCCTATACCAGTCAGATCTGATTTGACGGTACACACACACACACACACACACACACACACACACACACACAAATAATAAAATGTAAAAAAAGAAGAAGCAGCTGTGCTGCAATCCCAAAGCCATGAAGTTCAAATCCACCAGTTGCTCCGTAGGAGAAGGATGGGCAATCTCCTCTAGTGCAATTTACTGCCTCTGAAAACCCATGGAAGAGTCAGCTATGGGTCTGTTCCAACTCGACGGTACACAACAACAACAACATCTCACTTTGGGGGGCCATCTTATTCACCAATAAGCTATTAACTGAAAGACTGGAGGTTCAGTCTCACCCAGATGTGCCTTAGAAGGGTCTAGCAATTTGCTTCCAAAAAGAACAATCATCAAAAACCTTAAGGAGAGCAGTTCTCCTCTGACATGCACGAGGATGCTATGAGTCAGAATTGATCTGGCACCAGTAATTAGGTACAGAAAGAGTTACAAGGAGATTCATTGGGGGAAAATGACTTACAATAGCTCGGTCCATGGTTATTTCTTCCTTAGAGGTGTCTCTGTATCAAAAGTAGCACAAAATCACAGGAAAAGTAAATGTAGTACCAAATACACGAGGACACAGGATCAGGAAAATGACGACTTTGAGGCAGAACAGTGGAACCACAAAGTTTTTGATTTGAACAATGACAGACTGGCAAGGTCATGCTTTGAGAGAGCTAGGTGGTTATTGTTGTTATTGTTAAGTGCCATCGAGTCAAGTACAACTCATAGCAACCTTATGAACAAGAGATCTGACTCCTGTTCTATCCTGTGCCATCCTCAGTCTCTGACACACTCTAGCCCATTACCGCAGTCTCTGTGTCAATCCACCTGCTCTGGTGGTGAGCCCACACCCAGGGACTTAACCCAAAGAGAAAGACATCATGTTTGGTAAAGTGTTGTTGTTAAGTGCCATCGAGTCGCGGGTGACTCATAGCGACCCTATAAACGAAAGTCCTCAACACCTGTGTGAGTTTCATCCTTTCTCCAGGTTCATAGGTTGGTGAAGTAGAGTCAGTAATAAAAGGGAATACCTTCAATGAGATGGACTGATATAGTGGTTACAACAATGGGCTTGTGCAAACAGCAATTGTGACATAGTGCAAGATCAGCCAGGACTTTTTTCTGTTGTACAGAGGATCACTATGAGTCAAAAATAACACCGTGGCACCCAACATACACAAATAATTGGATAAATACATTTGGTACATCCATGGAAAAGTATCTTATTCAGCCCTTAAGATGAATAAGCTAGATTTGTATGTATTGTCCTGAACAGATGTGCATTATAACTTCTTTAATAAGAAAAGAAAGCTACAAACATATGTAGCATGGGATGTCATTCTCTTAATAAATGCATGGAAACAATTCTAGAGGAGCATACCTGGTACGTGGCGAGGAAGCTGTTACTAGGAGTTCTCAAGGTAGAGGATGAGGAGTTTTTTAAAAATTTTCACTATTCATATTATATATATATAAAATCTCCCATGTATTATATACACTACCCCATATAAGGGAATATATACATGGTTTGGATCAGATATACCTTAGTCTTCAAACTGATATCATTGTTCTTCAGCACTTTGGAGAGGTCCCTGACAGCAGGCTTTCCCAGTGCAATACAGCTTTTGATTGCTTGGCATTTGGTACACCATACAAATGTATCCTGGTGCCAAGGTTATTGATTGTGGATCCAGGTAAGATGAAATCGTTGACAATTTTTATTTTTGTTCTCCATTTACCCCGTGGCGAGATTTTTGTTTTTGTGATGTTGAGATGTAACCCCAAGGTAGGTGGTTCAGATCTACAAGCTGTTCCATGGGAGAAATTTGGACAATCTCCTCCTGTACTATTTATAGACACTGAAAATGTGTCTAAATGGGTTAGTTCTGACTCAGGGCACATAACAACAAACAACATGTATATACTAGTGGTATACAGAGGCATGTGTTGATATATTTTATTTATATAGTGGCATAGTGTAGCCTGTGCTCATCTTGTTCAGGTTAAAATTTAGAAAGGTGAGATTGATAAGCTCTGAGTAATTGGTCATGTGAGAAGTATTTTCCCTGCTCTTGCCTTATACACATACTAACAATTGTATTAAATGAATGCCAAAAATCAGCTCTTTGAAAAATAGACATGGTTTGGTATAAGATGGTTTTAAAAACACAAGTAGCTGCCTTTTTCAACATACTGGAATTTTCATTTCTCTGATGTGTACAGATATAAAGAGGTTCAAGAAGGTTCACATAAATTAATGTATAGAAGTCCAAGATAGATGTTAAAAGAAAATTAGAGATGCTTGGAATATACATTATTTTCTTTAAAAAAAAGTCACAGGCATTCTTTTTCCTTATTACAAGAGCTAAAAAATGGCTATTTATAAAATCTTAAAGCTGTAGCAACTCAAAACTCAGGACCATGGAGTTGGAATCAACTCATGTCTGACCCTGCAGTGGGTTTTCAGAGGCTGAAAATTGCACAAGAGTAGATCACCCATCTATTTCCTGTGGAACAGCTGATGGATTTGAACCACCAGAGATGTAGTCTTTGGATTAGCAACATAACTCCCTACAGACTATGCCTATGTTTCAAAGAGCTGTTTCCAGCTTCCATTTTAAAAAAATTTACAAATCCTTGAGTTGAGAGATGACTTTCAATAGATCACAGTGAGGCAGTTGCTCTGTATAAAAGCCCAACTCCAGGCATTCTTCTAACATAAAGGCTAATAATATCTGTGCAAGGCAAGAGCCAAAGAAATTCTACTTGCATGATCAATTGTCTTTGCCATGGTCTCCTTGATGTTACTCAGAGTCTATGAATTCCATTGCAATCACCTTTCTAAATTTGGACCTGAACACGTTTTGGACTATTGAACATTCCTCAATTTAAACATTTCAGGTTTCCTTTGAAATCTGTAAATTCTTGAAAGTACACTGTCCTAAAATGAAAGGGCTTCTAAATCCTCATGCATTGACCCGTCTTAATTTTCACTCCTTAAAATGTAACTTAAAACAAAACAAAAATCATAGAATTTTAGCACTAACAGGACTATTAGAGGGAACTCAACCCAATTTTGCTGTTTCCTCTATTTATTTTCTTCTCATTTGTTCTCCCCTTGGCTCAGTACCCAAGAGTAATCATGCAAATTTCTTCTTCATGCTAGAAAGGGCCAACATTCAGAAGGGAAGATGTGACTGGAAATGCTGCAGTGCCTAAGATTTGGACGTGTAAAAAAAATCTCCTCCGGATTTGAAAAGATCCTGATTGCTGTCAAACTACGCTTTGACCCACTACAGATAACACGTGCATACCTGCTTTTAATTTGAGTAGCCAGATTGGCAAGAACAAACTCACTGTCCTGAAATATAGAATTCAACTGTAAAAGAAGAAAAAAAAAATACAAAACCTGTTTTAGTATTCGCACTCCTTTAACTTAACCCAGCAAATCACCTGAGACAATGTGATCATTAGGCTGCATTCATTATTTCAGTTGGCTCAACATTTCCATCTGCTTCACTCCGTTTTTCAATTTACATTTACCCACCCAGTTTCAAGCACTATAATCATACCATATACATACACTTCAAAATAAATGCTGATAGGGAGGGGGTGGAGGAATAGACACTATCAGCCAGTGCTGGGGCTGGGGGTGCACACATTAGTAACACATCCAGAAGGCAATTTAGCAGTAGCTGTTAACATGGAAAATGTTGATGCCCTTTGATCTTGCAATTCCAATTAGAGGAATGTATCCTAAAACATACTCAATTGGCTCCAAAGTCTATTGCAAGGACATTTTCAGCACTGTTTCTAAACAGGGACAAAAACCAGAAACAAACTAAACGCCCATCTAGGAGATGCCTGCATTAAAAGGAAAACAACTAAATTACAACCCTCTAGTGAAATTCTATGCATCTGTTAAGGTGCATGAGGTAGATTTGTATTTACTCGCATGAATATGCTCAAAGGTACAGGATTGAATGGAGAAAAAGCACGTTTCACAACAGCATAATTAGTAGGATTCCACTTAATTTGTAAAGAAACATTTGAGTCAGTGCTAGTATATGGATTAAAAACATCCAAAAGAACAGTGCTCAAAATGTTAGGAGGAGCTGACATAAGAAGCTAGAAATGACATTTACTTTTTAGGTTTGAGATTTCAAAGGCTGAATTTTTCACAGGGAATGTATATATTGCTCTTGCTATCAGAAAATAAAGAGAAAATATTTATCATATTGGAGAGAGAAACAATTTAAAAATAGAAAAATATGTATATGCAATATCATAGGCTTTATCATCATTGTTCTCTATCTTTCTCCAAGAAGGAAAATTTATCCAAGATTCAGAATTTGTGTCAGTGGAGGGAAATGTACAGACCTAAGTAAAATGAAATAATAACATCCCATAAAGGCTTTATACATTGGCACTATGGAACAGAAACTCTATACACCCTCATGATGTTGCTTACAGAGCAGGTAAAATTGCAGGGGGGGAAAACTGCCATGAAATGGGTAGAAAAAAGTAAAGCCATAATTTTAATATACTCAGTGTCTGTCTAGATAGATGGAGATCTATCCATATCTACACATTCATATATATTTATATGTAATATAAATATTCAAAAGGTTACTTTACCCAGTATTCTGCAAATTCATTTATAACACTGGTAATAGGAATCCTTGACTCGCCATCAAAAACTGAAAAGTTCATTTCAATATTGTAGAAAGAAACTGTAATTAAAAATAAGATTAATTTTATCCTTCTATTTGGCTCAAGAAATTTGACTTTCAGTAAATTTTCTCAAAAGTTATTTCCATTTTAAAGCAAACCAAACAATGACATTATTAATATTGGGTTAGCTCCAACAGCTAGAATGATCATTTTTGGTCCTTTATCCAAAAGAAAACATGATGTTACCATCCAGTTTTTGCTTTCATTATTTCTGTAGTTCCCAGCTTTCTTTTTTTTTTTTTTTTAGTTCCCAGCTTTCTATATAGTTGATGGACATTCCACAAATCCCCCTAATCTTTGACTTTCATTAGCCATCAGATTTGCAGTTCATTTAATAGCCTGATGAATATTACCACACAAAAAATTTTACTGAGAAAATAATTATTTCTTATTATGTCTTCCTTTGCTTTGTATGTTACAGTTTTTCCTCTCCTTATATCTTTGCTGCTCTTATGTTCTTAATTATCAAATTTCAACTTTGGAAGGTTAAAAATTGCAGAAGTATCAAAAATCAGAACCCATATAACTCCTTGGCCATGGTTAAGCATTTCTTCTCAGCCAGTGGTGAGAATTCGAGAAGGCTGAGGCCTATGTAAGAGACAATGATTGAGGCAGTATGGAATAACTTCTGGTGTTTTCTGGTGTGAGATCAATCTGATTTAAGCTAAAACCATATATCATTTTCTTATTAGAGAGGGTATAATATCCCTGATTCACATTCATTTTGGCAGGGGCAGTGCCTAAAGAATAGAAGAGGTGAAAAAGAGGCGTAGAAAAGTCATACTTAGTGAAAAGATAAACTTACATTATATATTTTAAAAGTAAAGACAAATAAGATAGATACAGAAGTCTGTTTAGACAACTGTACTCACGTTGCATAACGCATGGCCCATTGTGCATGCATTCCACTAGGTATACAAAAATATATATTTAAATACAATGGCATATATGTGGAGTAGTACCTGCACACTCAGCAGCCATAGCTGAAGTCAATGTTCCTCTAGATAGAAAGGAAGGTGTGGAGTCCAGCGTGGTTGTCTCAAAAGAGGAAGAGATCAATGAAGACGCAATTGCCGTGAAAGGATGTGTCACTCCATTGGATACGAGTGGAAATGAGGATCCTGTAGCAGTAGAAGCACTAGTAATGGTTATATTTGGAAGGGAGTCCAGTTTGGGCTTAGAAAATACTAAAGTAGGAATTGTTGGTACAGCTGGGATACTGCTCCTTGAAGATGTTCCTGTAGAGCTAGACAGAGGTTTGAGACCAATAGACAGGGTATGATCATTTGCAGGAGGTGACATATTCACCCTGCTATAAGATGGAAGTTGAGACATAGTTCTGGAGTTGGCTATCATAGTGGTTCTGGGTGTTGCCTCAGGGGATGTGAAACTATATACATTGTCACCTGTGGTTTTTATTGATATGGGGAGAGAAGTTTGAAAACCAGTAGTTATGCTAGCCAGTGCAGATGTAGGAGTGGTTTTAGTGAGTATGGTACCTAGAGTAGCTAAGGGTGGTGGTGTAAAGTTAGTAAATGGATATGTTGGTATCATGTCAGTTGTAGGAAATGTGGATTTGGACTCCTCTACTGTAGAGGAAACTGTAGGTTGATGAGCTTTGGGTATAGTTGCCAGGGGAGAATCTGAAGAGAGACTAGATGAGCTCAAAGTCAGCATGGATTGAGTAGTAGCCTTCAATGTTGTAGCTCCTGTGGCAGAGACAGATTTTGATGTAAGTGTGATACCAGGAATTACAAACGTGGTCTTCTCAACTGTTTGTTTACTGTCTGCCAAAGTGGTGAGGATAGTTCTCGGAGATGTTGATGATGTAAGACTCTCAGAGAGGTCAACAGTAGGAAGAATTTCAGGTGTGGGAACTGATGACTTTGAGGTAGCATCTTCAGATACAAGATCAGTCTCAGAGGTTGAAAATGTTGATAAAGACTCTGGGACAAGTTGTAGAGTTGCTGTTTCCATCTTGTTGGGCGTAGGTACATAAGCAGTAGTGGAAATTAGAAAATGAGGCTCTGTAGCTATGGGTGTGTTCCAGGAAGACTGAGAGATACTAGATGTTATTGCTGTTCCCAGAACAGGAAATTCAACCATATGAGATGTAGGAACTGTAGAGGTTTTTGTAGTAAGGAACTCAGTTTCAGTACTATGAGGCAAATAAAGAAATGATGTCAAAGAGAGTGGAGTTGCTGTGGATGAGGTCAACGGAAGATATGAAATAGGAGTAGTCACAGATGTGGCACTTGCTTTTAGTTCATCTGTTAAGGAAGTATTTTCTGACAATGCAGTCACCTTTCTTGTATTAGAAGAAAGGTAAGTGGTGGTATTCACCTGTTTTGTGGGTTTGAGAGTGCTGTTAAAGCTAGTCAAAGATGGAGAGACCTGAATATTTATGGATGTATGGGGATTATCAGAAGATGTAAGCAAAGGTACACTTCCAGGGACAATTGTTCTGGAATAAATATTTGTGAGAGCTGTCTCACTACCACTGCTCATAGTAGATAGGGAGCTCTGAGTAATTCCGGGTATTAAACCCAGAGTTGTTGCCACACCTACTTGTGATGGCTGTTGAGTTGTCAATAGAATTGATGAAAATGTGGTCGTTGGAGTGGAGGAAACAGCTTCAGTATTCTTAGAAGGAGTGGAGGAAACAGCTTCAGTATTCTTAGAACTGAGCAGAGAGAAGAGACTCGTGCCTATCGATGGAGTCATTTTTCCAGCTATAACAGTGGTTGGAAAGGTTTTCACAGAGGGAAAAGCTGAATCTTTTAGAGAAGGAGAAAGTGTACGTGTGGTCCCGGAAGACATTGTTGTCATTTCTGATGTGGTGAAAGCAGAGGAAACAATTGTGCCTTTGGCAGTAGGTTCAGAAAGTGTCTCAGATATGGCATCTAAAGTAGATATTTCTATAGTCATAGTAGTCCTTGGATTAACTGAAGATGATAAAGTAGAGAATGACTCAGCTGTTGTGGAAGTATCAGAAGAAACTACTGATGTGGAGAAAATAGAGTCTTTGACTGGCAGTGAGGATATCTCAGACATAGGCCCAGAAGTGGCTACAGATGAACCTTTCAAACAACCTGAGGGTATTGTTTTGGAAGACTCAGTCATTGGTATTGTGGGAGTGTCAGAAACTTTTCTGGAAGTGAAAACAGTCACATTAAATGGCAAGGAGGATGTAGGGGAGATAGGAATAGGTGTTACCATAGAGGTTTTCTCAAGTGGGGTATATACATTTGGGACAAAAAAAGTTGTAGTGACCTTATCAGTAGAGATCACTGTAAAATTTTTATTGGATAGTCCACTTGTGGAAAAAGACAGGGGTTCATGGGAAGTCATTGTGCTTTCAGAAGTAGAAGAGGAAAGAGAAGTCACCATAGGTTGAGTTCTAAGTGATGGCACATGTGAAACAATTGTGTTGGTGTTTATTGGACTTGATAATCTGGTTGTCTTAAAAGGTTCAGTATCTATAAATGAAGTCTCCTTATAGTATGAAACAGGTTGAGTCACAGAGGTGGATCTTATTATCATTTCCACAGACCTTGGAGTAACTTCTGACATGGCACTCATGCTTTCTCTTTCAGGAGACAAAGTGGTGATAGTCAGAGCATGTGAGATAGTTGTTTGCCCAAGATCAGTAGACTCTTCTGAAATTTGAGTGCCTACTGTGTTGTCTGAGGTTAAAGCATGTGTAGTTTGTGTGCTCCTAGAAGTTGGGGATGTAGCTGAATTTTCCTCAGGCATGGTTTCTGAAAATCCTCTCTCTGTCATTTCCAAGGATGAAGTATCCGGGGAGTATGAAATAAAGGAATTTTTTGATGAGAACATTTCTGTTGCCTTCATAGTTCTTGGAGTATTTCCTAAGGAGGTAACCATCTGCTCGTTGTTGGATGATACAATAGGAGTGCTTGTCACCAGTGGGGTGGGAGCAGGTGTGCTCACAAGATGTGTGGAAGACTGAAAACTGTGAATGTCTACCAAAGTAGTGAGCTTGTTGGCAGAGGTATGTGAAGTCAAGATTTCATCAACAATAGAAGTTTCTGTGGTGCCAGTAACCAAGCTGAGAACCTCTGTGCCACCACTCAAATGATATGGAAGGCTCACAGCATGGGTAGATGTCTCCAGCACTGGAGCTTCTGCAACTTGAGATGTAGATTGAGTTGCTACTGGTATAGATGCTGCCATGGTCACATGAGTTGAGGACACAACAGGAATCGTGTTGAAGAGATATGTGGAAGGGGTAAGAGTATGTGTGCATGGAGTTACTCTTTCAGATGAAATGAAAGGAAGACTAGTATCAATCTTGGTAGGAATAGGAGTTCTCAGTGAAGAGCCTGGAGTTTCCACCACAGAAGGAACTGTCATGGGTGTCATCCTGACAGAGATCAGGGTAGCCTCGGAAGTGGTTAGATCAGAGTCTCTGTGGGTAGGCCTGCTATTGCTAGTCATGGAAGAAGTCTGATCCACTGTTGTCACTGAGGTTGTGGTCTCTGTAGCTGATGGAAGAGTTGAGATATCTGAGAGCACAGATGCAGAGAAAGCCTTCGCTGGTGTTGGAGGCTCAGGCACAGTCACCTTAATCACATCAGACACCACAACAGAGCCACTAGCTGGTAGTGAGACCATATGGGTAACAGGCCCAGAGGCTGCTGGGAAATGGGTAGATATGGGTTGCAGAGGTAAAGTGCTAGTAGATGAGGACATAGCTGTTCTGTCTGTAGAAGGAGTGGTGAAAATGGTCCTAAATACCCCTGTGGTGGACACATCCAAGAGTTCAGGAAATGTCTGTGTGCGCCCAGAGGTGGGAGATGGAGCTAAATTCCCCTCTGATGGAGTCTCTGAAGTCCAATGCACTGTATAGTTGTGGGTAGAATTAAATATTTCTGTACTTCCATTGTAAAAATTCAAATCGTCAGGTGTAGTTTTCAAAGATTCTGTCATGAACCAATTTATAACATCAGTAGATACAGTTTTGTTATCCACTGGGAAAGTACTGTTTTCTATATTGGGAAAAGGGGAGATGGTGGTGGAGGCTGTCACCATTTGTGAAGGTGCATCTGTTGCTTTTCTTGTCTCAACAGAAATTTGTGTTGTAACAGACTTAGGAACAAGGCCTGTTGTCTCTACAGACACAAGTGTTCCATTTGTTTCTATTTGTGTGGTCTCAGAAAATCTCTCCTTAGTAGAAAAAACTGACTCTATGTCAGCAAGGGTAGATTTCCTATCTTCTGGTGGAACAGTTGCTTCTCTTAGTGTTGAAAGAAGTGCATTTGGAGCTACTGTGGACATGGGAGTGCTTTTTTGCAGTAAAGCAGTAGATTTAAACTCAGATGGTTTGGGTCCAGATGTAGTTCCAAAAACTGTGGAGAAATTAGCAAACCACAGAGATACCAAGGTGGGTACAGCTGTTGTGAATCTGGTTTCAGTGGTAAAAGCTTCACCAGTGCTGGTGGACTCACTCTCTGTGGCTGTTTCTGGTAGAGTAATAATATTAGTAGTTGAGGATGAATGTGCTTTATTAGAAGTGTCCCTATGAAGTGCTGATGTAAATTCTTCGATAGGCATGAATGTAGGCATGTTGCTTGTATAGATTGATGGAAAAGGATTCTGGTCTGGCCTGGAAGTCCAGGCAGTCTTATTGGTGGAGAATAGATAAGAAGTCTCATCAGTTATAGTTGTGGGACTTGACTCAGATGACTTGGCTGTGGAGACAGGCCTAGTGGAACTCAAAGAAAGCATGTTTTTACCAGTTGTGGGCATAGTCTGTGTATAGACTGGCCCTGCAGTTGTGGAGGAAAGAATAAGGTCTGTCACTATAGGTGCAAGTGTGATTCCGGTAGTTAGAGCTGTCACGACAGTGTCAGTATTTGTAACAGTCTGTATACTCTGAGCTCTAATGAATGAAGAGGATGTCCTGGAAGAAGAGGGCACAGAAGAGGCATCTTTTGGCATAGAGGTAAGTATGTCATCTTCTGTTCTGAATGAAGAGACATCCTGGATATTCGTAGATGTCAATTCTATTTCAGCTGTTCTTAGGACAGGCATGGTCTCAACAGACCTAGTTGGAAGAGTCACTGAAGGAACTGTAAATACTATTTCCACATCAGTTGTTGCTGACATAGATGCAGTCTGATTTCTAGGGAATACAGAATCCACTGGGATAGCTGTGGAAATGAGCTCAGACTGGGGTGGGAATACTGATGCAGCCCCAATATGACTTGTTGAAGCTGAAGTCTGTTCCACTGGGGATGATGGTACAGTTCCTGCAGAAGATGCATGAAACACTTGTCCAACTGTAGAGACAGGGAATTTCCCATTTTCTGTGGCTTTGGGGTTAGGCCAAGATGTAGGAGACACAGATGTTGACCCAGCAAACGAGAATAACGATGTCTTCGTAATGTCAGACTGAGATCTGGTTGCTGAGGTTTTAGATACAACTGAATTCTCGGTAAATCCAGATGTGTATAGAAAAGTGTTTGCTGCTGTTGGATGAAAGGTCTCAGAAGCAATGGCTTCCACAGTTTTTGTTGTCATTGTCCTTGGTGAAGACAGAGGTTTATTTGTTTTCATGAAATTGTTATTTGTTATTATGGAAGTATTCTTGGTAGGAAGAATAATGGCTGGTGAAGTAGATATAATATCTGCTGCTAATGTAGATGTCTCAGCCATGGAAGGCTTGACATATTTTGATGCAATCATTGTTTCCAGTGGTGGAGATGTTTTGTTGGAGTACAAAATGGTTGTAAAATCAGTTGCAAACACAGGTATGCTTTCAGACATGACTGTAGAAGAATAGAGAGTCCATTGTGGTTTCAGTCCAGTAATTTGGTATGGAGTAGTCAAATAATCTATTTGCTGTGAAAGAGTTGTACTTGTTCCTTGAATTGCTATATTATCAGAAACAACTGAAAAAATGAGAAAGCAGGCATTACTTTGAAGTCAGCTATAGAAATCTGATACAACTACTTAAGAGAATATTTTATAATTTATTCACATATTTTAAAGTGTTGAATCTAGGTTTATACGTCATATTGCTCTTTCATTTAATCACTCATAGTCATTCTGTTTTATACTGTTAATTACTATTGATTAATGTAATTAATGACACTGTCTAATCAACCCCTTAGTGAATATTGCTTTTCCCTCCACTCAGCTTAGCTATTTATTAACTTTTACTCCCCTCTCCCTCCCTTCCCATCCTTGTTAACCATCCAAGAATATTTCTATGTGCAAACCTTCCCTTAGCTTTTTATAAGGGTGATCTAATAAAAAGTCAGTCTTTCTGTGATGGACTTGTGTCACTCAGCATAATCTAAAAAGAAAGAATTCTTCACAGACTTGCATGACATTCCTGAGCAGGCACCATGCTACTCTTCTCTGTATGGTTCCAATTTTAGTATATGTGCTGCTGAAGTGAGCACTCTCCACATAGTTTTAAGAGGAAGTAGTCAGATATAATCAATTTGCGGGATTGCTTGGCTTTTCTCTAGACAATTTTCTATTTTCTCAAGTCTATAAATAATTCTCATAGCCCACTGGTGGTATAGTAGATAAAGAATCAGGCTTCTCAATCAAAATATAAGTTAACCAGAGCCCATAGCTGCTCCACTGGAGAAAGATGAGGCCCACTGTAGTACAACTCACAACCTTGGAAACCCTAAGGGCAGTTCTACTCCGTCCTGTAGGGTAACCATGAGTTGCAATCATCATGACAAGAGGAGTGGCGATACATATATGAAATATTGGAACTGTTGATGTGTGCCAGTGAGTTAAAACCAACTCATAGCTGACTCTCCAGCAGGTTTTCAGAAGCAGTAAATCACATGGGAAGAGACCACCCATCTGTCTCCCATGGAACAGATGATGGATTCCAACCCCATGGCTTTGGCTTGGCAGTGTAGCTCCTTACCACTAAGACATCAGAGAGCTCTCTATTTGATATGTTGTTGTTGTTGTTGTATACTGTAGAGTCAGAATCAACCCATATCTGATCCTCCAGTAGATTTTTCAGAGGCAGTCAATTGCACAGTTGTTGATTGCCCATCTTTCTCCCATGGAGCAGCTGGTGGATTGGAACCACATACCTTTGTGTTGCCAGTACAATTCCTTACCACTAAACCACCAGAACTCCTTAGCATATACAATAATATATATATAGGCAACCTTAAGAGAGGGATACACGCTAGTATAGTGCATTAATTAAGAGGATTAGCTTTGTGAAATGAGTCAATCAACTGCTCAAATGGCACATTTATCACTCAAGAAGTAGTAGATAATCTGGATAATCTTATCTTTATTAACAAAAATTAAATTTTATAGTTAATAATCTTCCAAAATCCAGTTTTGAGTTCAAATAGATATGGTCTCAAATCTGGACTCAGGATTAGGTGACCTTGGGCTTCTTACTTTACCCCTGTGTTTCAATGCCCTCTTCTATAATGTGAGGATTACGATAACATCTACCTTATAAAATGTTGGTGCAAGTATGTTAGTAACTATAAAGCAACTAGCAGTGCCAGAACACTAAGAAGTGATCAAAAACATTTAATATTGCCTGTAAAGACTTAATATTTTAGACTTGATCAAATATCTGTCATTCATCTAAGCACTATAAATTGAAAACATTTTAGTCTGAAGCTCCAAGATGAAAACTTTTTTATATACACCAATTATATATCGTTTTTATCAGCAATGCATACATATGTACAGTTGTCACACATTTCTATTATGACATATTTAAAAAGCAAACAACCCAATCTCATTGCTGTCAAGTCAGAACCAACTCTTAGCTGACCTGCCAGCAGATTTTCAGATGCTGGAAACTGCACAGGAGGAGAGTACCCATCTTCCTTCCCCAGAGCCACTGGAGGATCCAAACCACCAGACAGCTGGCACCTGTGCTTTAGTAATATAAGTCCCTACGGATTATGTCACCAGAGCTCCCTATTATGATGTTGTTGCTGTTGTGTACTATCAAGTTGAAACCAACCCATAGCTGACTCTCTGGCGGGTTTTGAGAGGCAGTTAATCGAACAGGAGAAGATTGCCCATCCTTCTCATATTAAGACATGTATGTCATAAATTACATGTATCACACCTAATTTATAATACACATGTCATAAGATGAATTTGACATTATCCTAAACAACATGCCACTGGAAACTCTATGAACTTTGATCAATGATGATAGATATAGAGAGGCTTCAGGCTTTTTGTTATAGGGTTGTTATGCGTCGTGCTCAGCCCGACAGCAATCAATAACAATGACAACAACATGACTTAATACATGTATGTCATAAGAGAAATATAAACTTCTATTATGACATATGTATTACATGGATTATGACATATGTAATACAAATTTAACAGCGCTCTGATGGTTCAGTGGTAAGGTGTTGCACTGCCAGCTCAAAGGCAGGCAGTTTGGATCCACCAGAAGAAAGATGAGCAATATACAGAATGCATAGAAATGAGATAAAATCTTGAAGCAAGAAATCTCTTCAAAAGATGGCAGAGTCCTCTTCACCCTCCATACTCACCCGATAACCTCAATCCTTCTCCCACTGCACTTAAACATTTCAAACATAAACAATCCAATTACCCATCTCCTCCATACTTGCATATAAACAATTAAAGCACTGCTGCATACAGTAGCACAAGAGGGGGGAAATTGCTCTAAATTCTTAATCACCAATATGAAATGAGCCCTCCACATCACTCAGTCAGTCTACCACTTTTTCTCTAGTCAATTTATGCTCCTAATCTGCACAGTAACTATTTTCTTTTAACTTTTTTAGAAAGAGACAAGAATATAAAATCTACTTCCTGCCCCAAGTAATGTTGAGAGCCTCACTCATTTCCTCATCCTTTCAGCACCAGGAATATAGTGGAAACAATTTTAGTGGGCGACAACATTATTGTTTGACACTAACTCTCATGCTACAAGCAGGACAGGAGTCAGTTTCAGTTACTTCCCCTCCTTTTACAATCACCTAGACCAGTGTTCAGATCTGATGGGAAAGGAATCTGGAGGTTGCAATAACTATTTTAAATCTTCAATATTATCAAACCTCCTACACATGTTACATCCACAAGTTTATCAGATAACTATGACTTCTACTTTACAGGTGAAAAAAAATATCTGAAGTAATTAAACAGTAAACCAACTGTGCTTTAGGTCCTGTCACCCTTTAATGTCTCAGAAACCTTACACCGACAGTTATCACGTATTTATCCAATTAGAGTTTCCTTCACGATTTAAAATATGTTTCAGTCTCTTCCAGTAAAAATGAAAAACTTTACATTCAGGAACTATGCTACTATTCTCCTCCTCTCACACCCAAATTCTTTACAGGAAATTCATACACACTATTACGAACACTTGTGCCCCTGCAAAACCTATACATAAACCAAGAAGCAGGTCTCCAAACAGAACAAGGGAACAGTGCGTGGTTTAAAATCAGAAAAGATGTGGGTCAGAGTTGTATCCTTTCTCTATACCTATAAAATCTATATGCTGAGCAAATCACTCAAGAATCTGGGCTATACAAATAAGAATGTGGCATTAGGATTGGAGAAAGACACACCAACAACCTATGTCATGCAGATGACACGACTTTGCTTGCAGAAAGTGAAGAAGGTTTGGAACATTACTGAAGAAGATCAAAGACTACAGCCTTTGATATGGATTACATTTCAACATAAAAACAATCTCACTACTGGGCCAGGAGGCAACATCACGACATATGGTTAAAAGATTGAAGTTGTCAACAATTTCCTTTTACTTAGGTCCACAGTCAACAACCATAGTAGCAACAGTCAAGAAATAAAAAGCTTTATTGCATTGGGAAAGTCTGCTGCCAAAGACTTCTTCAAAGTACAACAGAGCAACAACTTCAGTTTAAACACTAAGGTGTGTTTCATCTAAGCCTTGGTCTTTTCAATTGCTTTTTATACATCTGAAAGTTGAACAATGAATAAGGAAGCCCAAAGAAGAATTGATGTCTTTGAATTGAAGTGTTGGAGTAGTGTCCAGTAAAACATATCGTGGATTGTCATAAGAAAATTGTGATGATGTGTCTCACATACTTAGGGCATGTTTCCAAGAGTGGTTGGTCCTAGTAAAAAGGCATCATGCAAGGATAGGTGGAGCATCATCGAAGGGAAGAGCCTCAACAACATGAATTGATACAGTGACTAGAACAATGGGCTCACGTATGTTAGAGATCATGAGCATGGCACAGGATAGGGAAAGGTTCTGATATGTTGTTCAGAGGGTCATTGTGAATCATAGTCAACTTGATGGCACATAATAACAACAGGCGAAGGATGGGCAATCTCCTGTGTGATTTGCTGCCTCTCAAAACTTGCTCAGCTATGAGTCCATTCTGAGTCTATGGCATACAACAATAACAACAAATTATGGATCAAGTTGTGTCCCTGAAAATGGTATGTTGAAGTCCCAATCTCTACTACTTGGGAATGTGATCTTGCTTGCAATTAGAGTCTTTGAAGACGTTATCTTCAAACTGAGGTCATAATAGAGTTGGTTAGTTTCATATACAATCTGAGAAGTGTCTTTATAAAAAAGAAGACAAGATACAGAGAGACAGGCAGAGGAAAGGTGTCCATGTGATGATATATATATATATATATATAAGCCAGAGGGTTAAATATACATCTCGGGTAAGACTGAGAAAAACTGGATGAAATATGTTTACGGCATTGAAGTCTTTGAGGGAGAGAATATTTTATATTTTAGGGCATTATGTTTATCGTAAGAGTACGGAATGAGGGTTGCAGAGTGGATTATATTTGGGATTGGGGGATGTGTGTGGGGGATTGCGTACCAATGAGGGAGTTTATCTTTTGCTTTTGAAGGAGAGGAGCAAACGGGGGGGGAGGG